ACCCCCGTTATCCTGTCATTTGTATGTCAGCCACAGAGGCTTGTGATGGTTGCAAACTAAACCTACAAAAATCAATGCCAGATTGGTCCAGAAGCATGATTGACGAAAAAGTCTTTGATAAAGAAGGCCAAGATTAAAATCCTACACTTCATTGGACACCTTCACAAGAAAATTGAAGAAAGAAAATTTACTCCCCCAGTAGATTAACCTTTTACCTTGAAAAAGATTGTTATTACTGCACTGAGATGATCAACACCCTTCACCACAACTGCACCCAAGGCCACCCAAAATTAAAACTTCCCCCCAAAATTACCTTTACATCAGACAGCAGGAAGTGGTTTGCTCTTTGATCATCATAAATGTTTGAATGCTTCCATCAAACGTTAATTTTGCAATTGATATACATTAAAAAAAAATTAGGAGGTTTTAAGATTTCTTTTAATTAATGGCCTCAGAATGCACTGAACGACCGACAATATCTGGCAAGCCCAGCACTGAAATCGCGATATTTAAAAACAAGCTTTTGGACCGCGTCCAGTGTAAATTTTAAACCTTTCTCAGTTGCTAAGGACTAATGCTTTGTTTGCAAGTAAGGAGTTATCCGAGAACAATGCTGGAAAATTTCAAAAGCTTAATTACGAACGGCTTCAGCTGTACAGGAATTGACACGAAATCATGGGTTGAACACCGTTTCGATTTTGCGTCAAAAGGACGGAAGCAAGTTTCACCCGTAGAACTTATTTGAATGTCTTTGTTTAAAGCTACGCGACAAACAATAGAATTCGGAGCCGATAAAATGTAAATTAGGCCAAATGAGTCATTCCACATAGTAAGTTGTATCTGCCACCATTTTATTTATGGCGATGAATAAGATAATCTCAAAACAACGGCACCTCACGATTTTGTTCCATTTTCCCTTGAAAACGATTTCAAAATGACATTGACGTGCCTTTCATTTCACACAAGCCTGTGCAAATACTCGGGTGAGGCTGTTAACCGAGAACAAAAATATCCAATCCTCTAACGAGCTTCGATTGGAAAACGCGTAAATACAAGCAAACACGTCCTAAACAGCTTAGGGCCGATCTCTTAACAATATCAATTCGTTAAGGTCTCAGAAAATTACTATCTCACGATAAAACAAACCATCTTTATCGCTTTGTAGTTGCCAGTTAAACGAAAGTGCGGGCGATGATTTATTTGAGGAACCCCCTTGAGGACGAGAATATTTTTCAACCACAAATGCATACATCATCTCTTCTGCGAAATGTAGTTCATTGTTCTGTTTTAAATAATTTCAACTGATTAGAGCTTTCTGATAACAACGAAATGTCTTTTCGATTTTTTTTTTCTTGCAAGCATTGTACGTAAATGTTTTGGTAACATTTTTTTTTGACGGCACGCGTCCACGTTTAGAGAAAGAAATTAGAAGCGATGAAATAATTGTATCAGATTTTTTTCTCACCTAAAATTAAGTGAAATCCGCCGATGACTATGCACAAGGATGAAGCAATTCCAGGCCCATACGTGATGGGAAACTCCAGATCTTTCCACTCGCAACTGAAAGGTTTATCCGTTTCCCCGTTCGATGAATTGTTTGTGTCGTTGGAGGTTCTATTGTTTTCCATTGCTGTGGTCGATGAAATCCAGTAGAAGGCTAACAGAATCGCTCGTAAAATTGGTTCGGAAACACGTTGCGGTCTCCCCATCTACAGTTCAACAAGCGGCGAAAGGTGCAATTAGTGAGCAAATAAAAGAAATCGAGGCCGAATTCGACGCACTGTACACAAAGAACATAAATATCAGCGACTATCTAAGCCATTAAAACCTACCATTTTGTAATGAGCGTGTCCTCGTGAGCGCCACAATTTCAACAAGGGATGTGAAATAATTCCGAAACCATTTAATGGAACGCCGTCGTTTTTCAGCTGAGGATTGTGTGTTAAAGAACTAACAAGGTTCTTTGATCTACCTAAAACAGAACGCAGTAAGACCAAACAGTCAAGGTTCCTGAACGTACCGCAGAAAGATATTGCATTACTTTTGAACCTCTCATGCAGCGTAAGCCTATTATAAATTAATTTCGCAACAGACATCATGAATTATTAATACAGAATGTCACGCACTCCCTGGAGACTTTTACAGGAATTAAAATCGTCTGCGAAGAGGAGAAAAAAAGATATGGGTTTCCTTCGTTTTAGTACAATATTTTGTGTTAAAAATCTTGTGTGGTTTTTAAGAGCGATTGTGCAACAAATCGCATGTCGTGATTTCAATTTCCTTTTTCACAATGTCTCAATTGGTTTAATTAAATGAAACCGCTCCCTCTGGTTTGTCGGAAAAGCGAGGAAATAGTGAACTGGAGATAAATTTGGAATTATTCTAGCCATCAGAAAAAGACCACAAACATTTATGGCTGGGAGAAGATGTTGATAAAAATTTCACACCCTGTGTATTACAGGATCGTAACAGGCGCTTCGCGTGGACGCGAGTGACCCACAAGAATGAGAGCAGATCAAAGGCAAACACACGCGGAGGCAGCGAAAGAAACTCTCTACCGCTTACCAAGAACATTACGCGGAAATTTTATTTTTCAGATTGGCGTCATTTTGTGCTTTACGGGGACCTGAAATGATGCGTTCTAAGAAGATTTTAAATTCTTATGTCGGATTGAAATAAAATTTTTTTTTTCCAGATTAATTTCTGTGCAAGCGGTAGATCGGTATTGAAGAAAGGAAGGCAATTGTTTCAAATGTGTAAACCTGGACAAGCTATACAGAGGAGTGCTACTCGGCAGATGATTCGTTCAAGGTATTTTGGACTGAGTCCGAAAACGAAGACTATGTTAACACTTGATTCCCAAGCAGAGGTTTTATTTAATCGACGGGAAAAACTTTTCCGGCGTTTTATTTTTGAAGAAATTTGTTTTCCTTTCCCAGAGGTTATCAGTTTAGCGATCGAATGCAATTCGCAAAATCCGCAAAAAATAAGACGTGCAAATTTTTTTCAATTGGAAAAGAGATACTGTCGGAATTGGCACAATATAAAGAGTAAAAGTAGTGATCAAAAGGTTTGTCGTACTCCAAACTGAGCTGAGATCGCCATCAACAAGAGATTATAGACTGATAATCTCTTGCCAACGGTTCATGGGGAAAAGAAACAGAAAATCTGCAAAGAGGAATGGATTATTAGTTGCATGCAACACCTCAGCACAATTAGTTCCGAAAATTTGAGTTAGATCAAGATCACAACTTCCGCCTGATAATTTGAGTATTCTCATTACATGTTTACTGGATAATCTATGGATATTACATGGAGAAGCTACATGTTAGTCACTGCTTATCATCAGTATTCAATTTCTAGTTTACTGAACTTTGCTCCGTTGAAAAGTTGGACGACACGATTGCATTCGACATCTGTCACCTCCAGTTTCAGGGTTTGTTTTTTGTTTTCTCTGTTTGAAGATAAATGAAAACACTCCTTGAAATGCCGTGGTAACAGCTTTGCACACTCGTACTCGCCGACTAATTTATTTCATGCAGGAAAAGCGTCCCTGACAAAGATTTTTTTCTCTCAACAGGATGAACGATCCTCATTTTCCGATTGTGGTTTCATACTGTTTTATTTTCCTTTCGCTGAGGGATAGTGAAGCGGAAGCCGGCTCATTTCCTCGTGAATGCAAACCTCTGTCGAAACAGAAAGAAAGCATCGTTTTCCTAACCGAATGCGAAAATTTGACACGACAAAGAAGCTTATTAGAGACGAAATTAATACTGCCCCGTCAATATTTGCGTGATAAGCAAGACTAAACATGTCCTCTATTGTTGGGCTGAAACTGAAATTATGCAGTTATTAGCTCTTTTATATAAAAGGTTTGTTAATATAAAAGAATCTTTTTTTCCAAAATTATTTAGATCAGTATCTAAGCCACAATCCAAAACAACAGCTTTCAATAAACAGTTTGAAATTAAGGATGAAATTCCTCATCATCGGATGAGGCTATACACGGAAAACAGGTTCAAACCACAACTAAACAAACAATAAACCATATCTTGAACTTACCGAGAGCTTTACGTGGGTAAAATTCGTGTTTTCTCCGCCCAGCAAGACGAGCCACGTTAAAAAAATGGCATATGCGCTGTTTTCATAACGTGGTGAGCCGAAGATATGCTAATGACAAGACTTTCTTATTCATCAAAAAGTAAACACAGCCGTTCAAATGACATCATCACCCAAGAAAAGCAAAAGGTGTTCAAGAGCTAGCAGATTTGGCCCTGGGTCCATATTTGCTAATAGATCTGGACCAGGGAGGGTCCATTTCCGCTATTAGGGACTTTAAGATACGGGGACGCGGACGCCTTGCGGTACGCGACCGTCGAAGAGAGCCTGGGTCGAGTGCACCGCGTTCGTGGCGGGAAAATTAAGTTAAGGTTCTTCAGTTTGCGAGCGACGGGGCGATTTTTTCGAGTTTAATATGGCTTCTTTCAGGGAAACTCGAGAACTGCTGTGTATAAGTCGTGAAATGGGCTTTATTACTGATGCAGAATTCTTGCTGCTTTATGAGGAGAGCAAGTCAGATTATTTGGACTTTCCTTACCAAGAGTATCCGAAATTTTCTTTGCCGGGACCAAAATGGAGCCGAGTGTTCAGCCAATTTTAGGGTAGAGAAGCATCACACATCTCGCCTTGAAGATGCACTGCAAATTCCTGTTATATTTAAATGTGATCAAGGAACAGTATGTGATGGAACCGAGGGCCTTTGTATCCTTCTCAAGCGATTTGCCTAAGCTACTCTTGTCGCTACTCTGACATGATCCCGATTGTACCTGGGCTACGAAGCCATTCCCGGCTAGATCCAATTGTAATTTATAACCGAGATCAGCAACTGAAAATTCAATCAGTCAATGTATGAGTAATTCACAGAACAGAGGTTTTTACCGAGATTGCTTAGTGTTAAATTTCTTGCCATTCTGCTGTGTTTTAACGAGATTTGAGCCATTTTAGCATATTTTGGTCTAGGTTGTACTGACACTACAGTGTTATATTTACACTGCTGTTTATGATTATGACTCAGCAACCGACTTTTTAGATAAAAAATAAAAAAGAAGATTCTTAAACATCCAAAATAACACAGGTACTGTTAATTAAAAGGTCTGTAGAAACCAAAAAGACCACCAATTTACTCACGTTTTATCGGCGACGCGAAAAGCCGTCTAGCGACGTCCGTCGCCAGCAACAACGCAGCACATCTGACTTTTGGTCATCCGCAATGAAGCTCTCAGGTGTTATTTTACTTCCGGTTCTCTTTCGCGACGTCCGCGTTCCTGTATCTTGAAGTCCCTATCTAAACAATAGAGTGTTTCTGTCGAGGAACTATCGGCTGATAGTTGCCCCGCGAAAATTTGATGTTCTTAAAACAAATATGCTAGTTTTAGGAACATCAAATTTCCAAGGGGCAACTATCAGACCGATAATTCCGAGACATAAACACTCTATTGTTTTTATTGTTTTTATTGTTTTCATTTCTTCCGCGCCTACAGCTTGTCACAAATGTCAATAATTCGCAACCGTACATTGGCTAAATAATACGTTTTACCTGTCAGAATTGAAAAGTCACTGTTTTTCCGATCTGCCTAACTTCGCGGCCGTCAAACTATTCAAAACTTTTCACGGATGAGTACCATCAATCCAGCTATTTTCCGCGGACGGGCACTATCCATCCGGGTATTTTCCGCGGGCGGGCACTATGGACTGATAGTGTCTCTCCAAGGATGAACACTATCGCGTCACGTGATCGATTTAAACCAATAAGAACCGAAGAAAAGTTAGTGGTGAACTATAATAAGTCTTAATCCGCAGGGGGTCCTAATTCCCTGTGAAAGTGGCCCCATATTAAAGGGGGATGAATATCGAAGCAAACCTCATGGTCACTTCTGTTAATGCCGCCTTAGCCTTCGTTTCGTTTATATTTTAAGTATCGAATTTCTTTTTTTTGTCATTGTTGAAATGTTTTTTAATTTTTTTTTTCCTTTGGTGTTGCTCTGTAATTTTTACGTTTTTCTTTTTTCCGTTGTCGTTTTTGTTGTTAGTTTTTCTGGATTTTACGCTTTTTACCAGCTTTGTAGTTTCTCAAGCCGTTGGTTATTTAACAATTATTCGCCGAAGGCGAGGTCAATATCGTCGAATTATCCCCTCGACTTCGTCTCGGGGATTATTCAACAATATTCACCGAACCTGAGGCGAATAATTGTTTTAGTATAATTTCAGAACTGAACAACAGAGAAATTTCTAAAATCATAACATTTTAGTAACATTTATCGAATATTTTATTTTAACATTTTATATAAACCGCGTGGAACGGTTTATATAGCGTCGTATAAGGAACCGCTCGACCAATCAGATTGCCGGAAACTCTTTGCTCAGCTCTGAAATTATACTAAAAGGATTTATAAGCGCGGGCTTTACAGTGATTGCTAATTAACACCACAGCAGCAAGCAGGGTGTAGTTTTAGAGTTTGAGGAATGCAATTTAATTTGCATTGCAAATCGAAACATTCCTTTTCCCATCAACTTTAAGGCTAAAGCCCTCTTGTCATAGCCTGCGACAGGAGATTATGAATAGTTTATGATCTCTTGCCTCCGAGAAGGTCCTTGAGCCTTCGGCAGGAACATTTCTTTGCCAGCGCGAAAGTGTAGGGCCTTGATTAACGCAAGCCGGCATGGGTTCTTCGGGTTTAGCAGCGATAATTAGGCATTATCAGGTCCAGACCGTCGGCAAACCTCTCGCAGGGTATTTTTGTCACAATGCCAGTTTTGCACTCGTTTGAATCATTTCAATATACCGCGTAAGCCATGTCTAACTAAAGGTTCAGAATTACAGTTTGTTATCATGAATAACCATACACTAATAATACTGTCTACTTTTGGATGTAACACTGTTTAACGTTTCTCTCCTCAGTTTTGGGTTCCAATTTAACTAAATGAGTGACAAAGTAGCCACTTATAGAACGGGCGCTACTTAACTAAAACCCAATAGATCGGAGCTTTCGGAGAGCTAGAACATATTTTAAATCATTTTAGGTATATCCGTAATCATCTCAGTAATTGCCAGTGATGGAAACAATTATCATTTACAATACGAATTAAATGAAAAAAAAGGAGAGAAAATTAAAATGAAAAGAAACATTTTTGTAGAGACTTCCTCTGGCTAGCGTAAGTTCTGCCTTTTGATATGTTTAATAATTACCTTGTTCCCTGATCAAAAGGGAAGATCTGCCTTCTGACTAGAATCTTTCAGATATTCGTTTCTTTCAAAAGTTTGGCCACTTCAAATGGCCAAACTTTTGAAAGTTTGGATTGGATTCAGTTAGCGGAACATTTTTTTTCGAAACTTTACAGTCTCTGTTTTGGAAATGTGTCGACGTGTTCTCTTTTAAGGTGTCATATTAAAAATATTCAGTTAATGGCTTATACTTGTCCCCAGGACTGTTTCCTAAAATGGCAGATAAAAAACACAACTTATGCTAAAGTTATTCTCTCCCGTTGAGCCAATATTTTTCCACTGCTTAGTTACCACATCAAAACATTCAATTGATTTTACGCCACGTCCACCGATGCAGAAGATCTCATTATCTCGTGATACAAGTCCAAAATCATTCCTTGAGTCTTTCATTTTTTCATTTAGAATGGTCCAGTTCTTTGCCTTTGGGTCGAACACTTCTATTGTGTCCAGGCTCCGTTCGTTGTTCCTGCCCCCCACTGCATATACCAGCCCATTTATTGCGCATGCTCCCAAAAGAAAACGCGGAAAGTTCATCGACTTCAAAGTGGTCCACTTTTCTTGTTTTGTGTCAAAGCGTTCGATGGAGGCTAAGGCCCCATCTGGGCTGTGTCCACCAATCACGTACAGTTTACCAGACAAAAATGTCAGACCTGTGAATAAAAGCAAAAGATGTACTTCATTTATTCCCTTTCAAATGTAATCAACTTACATATGTGGAAGTTTCCGGCCCGCGGTTTTAGTAACAGCTGCATTACTGCACTCCCATAGTATGGAAGCCAGTCCATCGCAAGCTTGCCCCCCCCCCCCTGCATTTTTTCCTGTTTCCCTTATGGTATTCTCTAGTGATTTTTAACTACTGGAGATGCAGAAGCTATGTAAGAGTAAAGTGACTTTTCTTGTGATAAAACAAATGGGAAATACCTGGACATCGCCTGCTGTAATTCATATTTGGAAGATCTGTCCACTCCTGTGTTTCCACATTGAATTCACAAGCTGATTCTCCTCTCTGCCTTCCACCCACCACAAAAATACAATCTTTCCCTGCACAAACACCCGAGTCATGAACATCAACACCTGTAACATAATGTGTTGATGTCAAAGACATAATTCTAACACTGAGAAGAAACAACATTTCACTAAATTTACCTGAACAAAGCAGAACAAAAGAAGTGCACCTGTCTCAAGGAACTTACTGCTGGTAGCTATCCGGGTAATTTGGCTGAGAGGCAATAGGGTAGTGTACTTGCCACAGAAAACAACAAGACTCAAAATAGCAAATTACGATCCTACTTCAAGCAGGGTGATAAACCGCCTCACCAATCATGCGTTAATCTAATGGAATGTTTACCTGTTTTATAGTTACCCGTCACAACAGCAGATTTTACACAAGGCAAGGCAAGGCATTTTTAACCAGAAAACTCTTTGAACTATTGTAGAGAAACTTCAGAGTTTCAGTTCAGAACACTCAATCTCACCTTCACCCACTTCAGTCCAACAAAGCTCCAACAAATTAAATTTGTCGACTTTGCCACTGGACAAGCAATAAAGCTCCTGTCCCACGACAACTGCGCAGCGGTTTTCACTCAGACTCTCCATACTTCCCGCCGGTCCTGTCATCTCAAGACAGCGTACGCATGCGCAAGTCACCGAATCGAATCGCTCCACGAGGTTTGTTCTACAGCTAATGACATAGATCACATCTTGGGGCTTCCTTGCAAAATCTGATTTCGATGTTTGTGTGTTGTTCCTAGATGCAGCTTGTTGGTCTAAAGCTTCCCTCACTCGATCGACACAAACATTGTATTTTTCACAAAGGTTTGGAACGACTTCTTTGGTGAGGTATTTTGATGGGATCTGCTCAAAATGGATCTCTGAGAACACTCTTTCTGCCTTGCTTGCTCTGTCACAAAAAATTTGTTTTGTTGTTACGCATATTTTAAGGGACCAGTAATAATTAATCGCCTGGGGAAGGGGGGAGCGAAGAATTTTTTTAGGAGATCATATGGTTTTCAGGGGGGGAACGGAGGGGGAAATCAATCGTCGCCAACAGAATATAAAGGGAGGACTATATAAAGAATTGACTGCCAATTGGCCGCCAAGAAGGGAGGATCAAAACAGTATTATAGAGCCTTAAGGGAGGAGGGAGGGGGGAATCAAATTCCTCCGACCGCCGACCTCCGTCCCCCTTTCCCCACCCACCCCTTCTCAAGGCGATAGATAATAATGACCAGTTCTAAGGTGAGTATGCAAGGTAGTGCAAACTGGGTGGATCACAAGAAGTTAAACAAACCAAACAAGCAACCAAAAATTAGCTGATGTAGAGAGGGTGCCTGGGGACTACGCACTTTCATTGATTCAACATTTCTCAGAGAGGAGAAGTCTGAAGCTCAAGAAGACCAAGAAGCGCTGAAATTTAAAAGTGCGCTTTGCCTTTGGCTAAATTAGGCCTAGTATGAGTACTTTACACGCCTGGACGGGGTTTGAAAATGTTTGATAAAAATGGAGAAAGAGTTTCAAAAAGGTGGGGGGGGGGTGTCGTATTAATCCCAAATACTTTTCTAGACGACTATAATGTGCAGTGCATAGTGGCTTTTCCTCTGCTCAACGACAATGAGTATTTCGAAGCTTTTATCCTGTAAAAATTTATTGAGTCGTTAAGGTGATTTTTACAACATTGATGAGGAGATTTTCAATTTTCCATAGCTTAGCTCTCAATTACATTCAGTCGTCTTTATATCTCAGCGTTCAGTTGTGTAAGCCATCGTTTTGCTCTTTGAAGTGTTAGTTGCTCCAAGACCAATTAATTTTCATGATCCCCCTACGCGTTCTAACTACAAGTTCGCATGACAGGTTTCTAAATGTGCCCCAACCCGATGTTATTGCTATTCTTTTACAAAACAGCTTACCTTCCATTTGGGTCCTGTTTGAACCACCTGTAAACTGCCTCATACACAGTCTCCTCGCGTTTAACTCGTATATTTTCGCTTCCAATAACTTCGATGAGGTGTTCAGCGGACATCGCCAAAAAGTCAGGCTCTTTCAGCAGGCTCTTGAAATTCCAGTCAACAAAACGGTCAATTTTAGCTTTGAAATTTGTAAGTTTAAGTTTATGGGCTAAACTTTGAAACCGCAGACAGTTGGATGCGTGGAGGTTTGAAATGACAAATTCCTGAAGCTCATCAACAATTTCTCGTATCTACAAAAAAATAAATGTGACATTTTGATCTCATGAGAATTGGCTGTATTAATCAATTTATTAAAGGTAAAGGTAATTTATGAAAGATACAGGTATCCAAGAGCAAAAGTAAACTGATAGTGAAAAACAATGGCTTCAAGAGCGGAAGAGTGTAAAATCAAACCAAGATTGGTTTAACTTTAAGAAATATATTCCTTAATTTGAATAACGGCCCAAGTTTCCCGGACAGAAATTTTCACACTCGTGTCAAAACTATTTCGAAGTGATCCAACCTATTCTCGCTGATTCCAAAGTTCTGTGATCGGTAAAAAAAATAACAATAAAATAAAAAATGACACGCGTGACTTTCTCAATCAACTACTATTTACTAGTGACTAATTAATTATTCTCTCTCCCCCCCCCCTTTTTTCCCGCGCCTGCGCCGCTGACCTATATCTGAGTTCCCATTAGCCTCTCGAAAATCGTTACCTCGGTTTTGATTGGACGGTGCGATAACTCTAATTTTGGTTTTCAGGACACTCGGTAGACACATGTACGCACTGGCCTCGATATCATGATTAGAAATGCCGAATAGATCGTTTTCACGTAACGTCACATCTTTCCGGTCGCCATATTTGTGTACAACCCAGGGTAATATTATATATGCAAACAATAAGCACATCAACAATTTCTGCCTGTAAAAATGAATACTACAGCAACGGAAGCAAAATTAAGTGCCAATACTGATATCATTATCCATCCTCCTCTTTCTGTGTACGCCAAGAAGCTAGAACCACAAGTAAGGCAGCGTTATTTGGAAAAAATTTTCGGAGATTGGGATCCATCCTGTCCTTATTTAGAGTAAGAATTTTCAACCAGACTGCTTGCCTCCAGTTGAATCTACAGATCTCCTTTTCTATCTGGTTTTGGAGACAAGCTTCTACACGCAACAACAGTTTAAGGCTTTCCGAAGCCTGGAAGCCAACAATCAGATGGTTTCGGGATTTATAACCAGCGTAAAAGGCCACATAATCGCAAACAAATTTGTTATGTTAGCCAAGGTGAGACATTCGCAGAGAATGAATGACTCTTTGATCCCTATCTGGATTATAGCAGAAAAGGAGGGGACAATTTTATTCGCTCATTGCCTAGGTTGTAAGGCCGGGCTAGCTGAATCATGCTCGCATATTGCAAACGTTTTATTTTACGTAGAAGCGTGGACGAAGATAAATGGAAAACTTGCTTGCACCCAAACTCTTCCGATTGCGTGCCGACGTAAACAAACATTCTTGAGTCAGTTTGTGTGCCTTTCTCTGTGGGCTTATCTAGACTTTCTGCTTCGCTACCTTCGAAGTTTAAATCTAAACTTTGCTGCCCCGATTCGCTAAATTTGAAAAACTTCTCCTCCCTCTCAGACTCTAGTACTTTCACCCTTTTTGCAAACGCCGGCTTCTTCACCAATTCGCGTTCCCTCGCCCTCTTACTTCTTTTTGCCGCTTGTTCTCGATCCGTGCGGCCAGTCTCCTTGTTATGTCCAAAATTTAGAGTTGGGACCCAATCAATGTTAAATTTATCCCATGATTTTACGGCCTTCCAGAAACAAAGTGTTTCTCACACACGCGGTCGTTTTCCAAAATGGTATCGGTGAGATCGTCTCTGCAAATAGCAGAAATCTAGCGCGATCTTCTTTCTGCTGACAATTCTCTGGCTTCATTTCCTTGATTTTCAATTATCGAAGGTACTTTGGCAAAATCTAATCCTTTATTCCTTCCACTTCTATTTCCACAGCCGACAATCAAGCACAAAACCATCTTCTTTCAAAGGACGCAGTAGATTTGCATGCGATATCTGTACACAAATATGACGGCGTAGCAACAGTTGTCAGGGTTTTGGTCACGTGAGTGAAAACGATCTATTGCTTTTTCCTTTTTCAGGAAAATCAACATGTTTCAGGCTTGGTGGAATAGGTTCTATCCGAGCTTGTTCCAACTTCGCAGTGATTCTCCTCGCATTCAAAGCGCGTTTGAGATCAACACATATTATAAAATATTTTGGTTTACGATTTCGTTGACTTCTTACTGAAATAAAAGAGATCTGAATAAAAGAACCGATATTGGTATGAAACGGAAGAAAACTGACAGTAGACAAATGTCCATTAAAACTGCCGCCTTCCATCTTGTTCTTCACCTGCTCTTGTTGAATGAACAATTTAGACAAGCAAAGTCTTGAAGCAGGACGATTGACAATTGACGTCAAGAATTGTAATCGCGTCAATAATTTTGACTCTAAGCTGCAAATCAAGGCGTTAAAATCAATTCGTCTCTGGTTTCATTTCTGCCTTCGCTTCTGGGTTACCAATGGCAACCATTCCTTTCATGTTGCCGATAAACCGAAACCAGAAAATTACAACCGATTCTAACGTGAGTGTTTTTTTAGTCGTCTCTTTCGTGATCACTGTTTTCTAAAGGAACAAGTTGGAACCGAACTCTTTCCCTTTGTGATCCAAATTCGTAACTGACTTTTATTTGTTATCGAATTACACCAGGTTTAATTACGATTATTCAACGAAAATTCGAACGAGGCAGCCGGCAATACTTCTGATATTGTCGCCTCAACAGATCCAAAATTGCTTTGTTTAATATTATGCTGATCAAAAGTAATACCAAACTTCAATAAAATCTGATTCAGAAATTCACATTAGTTGAAATACGCCGACATCGAGTCTGCCGGAACAAATAAAACATGAAACTTCAAGAAAAAGGGCAGCAATGTATTCATTCTAAAATATTACATTGCAAGAAATATTGCTCTTTCAGAGACAGCACAAAAAAATTCACACCACACCACTAATAAAGTCATTTTGTCTGATGGTAACTTGTTCCTGTTACAAATATAATATGCTAAGTTATACTTAAAGTTTAAAACCTTTTTCACTATAAAATATTTTCATGGGTAAATCATATTGTGTCCAATGACAAAAGATGGCTGAAATTTAAACTTCAAGTATAAGCAAAACTACGTCAAACCTGTAAAAGAGAAGCCAATGAAAGGAGTTCTTCGCAGTCATCTGTGTTAATAGCCAGGTTGCCAGAGTAGAAATAATCTAAAATCAGTCTCACAGTTTCTTCACGAAAATTGCTTGGCAAAGCAATTTCTTGTTGTTGCGTTCCAGAATTTTCCGAAGCAAAGATATTTCGCAAGTACAGCGAGTTACCTGCGAGAATCAAGCGGTGAGCAGCGAACGTTACATTCCCTACTTTCAATATCACATCGCAAAGTTCCATATTAAATCTCATATTACAGAAACGATCAAATATAGCGGAAAAGTGAGAAGGATTCGAACTATGATCTATCTGTTTGCTAGCCCGAGGGGACATATTTTGCTTAGAGCTTGCCATACTCAAACCCTTTGTTGCAATTTCAGATTCGGATTATAAAATGATCATGCGCAAAATAGTCTAAAAAGATAATACACGATATGGTTGTATTTCCATTTTTCACTGTCGTCTGAGCATAATGCTCCTCCAAAGCGGAAAGTGTCACTTAGAGGCTACCTTATCTTCGCAGCTGCGTCATTTGACGCACATTTAAAAAAAAAGTCCTCGATTCGTCGCCGTGTCAGGCGAGAAGCCAATCACATTTACCGGGATCTCCAATTTAGACAACTTCTGTGTCAATAAATCAGCTACAATGAACCGCATTGTAGAAATAAGATTGATATTGCGTGTGGGATTGACACTTCATCTCGCTGGAAACTCGTATTATTTTGTTTGTCGAACAAGTGATCCCATCAGTGCAAGGATTGTATTTCAGTAGTTGGCCTGAGGCAGTTCCGTTGTTTTTTTTGTTTATTCCATCAGTCGACGTGGCGACTGTAATTATCCAATCGACTCAGCATCGATCAGCAGTTTAATGTTTCCGATAATTGCTTTGGGTCAGCATAATCTAATAACTCTTTCCTAATTTAAAATACCATGCAGAGGTTCTCTACCAATAGATTCTATACCCAACTGACGCAAAATGTTAAAAGATAATCGAGTCGCCGCCTTCTAGATATAATCTTTTGTTTGTGACACTGCTTGTCTCATTCATCGCTGCAAAGTAGACAGTGATTATTTTTCTATATTTCTATGGCTTCAAAGGTACATCAGACTTAAATCTATTGCACTTATTGCAGCTGCTTTAGAGAAGCCGCTTCAAACGATAACGATAACCTTTTCAGTACTCTGCAGCTTCGCTACTTCGATGCTAAGTTCAGCGAAAATTAAAACTGGCTAGTTTCAGCGTGTAAGCCCCTGAGATAGGAAAAATTTGTTTGTAGTTAAGTCTCGCAAGTTGGCAATTTAATTTTCTTTTAAAAACCAGTTATGATTTTTCACCAAGGTGTTCTATGTGTACACTTCAAACATACACTTATTTGAGTTTTACAGGGCAGGAGCGGTTTTATTAATGGTCAACATTTTGGGAAATAAAGGCATCTTTTTCTGAGTTGGCTTGTGATAATTAACCGAGGCTTTTAAATCGCTTTTGATATGACCTGAAATTCTTCTTTTTAGCTGTTACACCGTCATTGGTTAAAGGCCACGGTGAGGCACTATAACTGAAATCAAGATAACACGTTCCAGATGATATTGATCTGGTGTAGTTTAATCACTTTTTTTTAATGATTGATGTATAAGAAGTTGGAAAAGAAATAGAAGGCGTTTGTCGCTTATCTCTTCCAATTGTCTGGCGAATCTCTGGTCCTCTTGAATCAGTAAAAAAACATATATTTGACAGTGAAAGCACAAGGTGTAAAGGGAACCACAATAGTTCAAATCCTCCGTGAGAAAAAATTAATAGAAAATCACATTTATAAAGAAAAGGACAAACCTAACCTTACGGATCCTGTCACCGACCTTCAAATACGAGAAATGTCCAAAATGCGAATATGCGATATTGAATTTTAATGAAAAATATATATTATATATTTCCCGATCTTCTCACAGCAAGTCGTAATGGTTGGAAGTCAACTATTTCTTACACTTCTTGAATTATAGAACCTTCATTACAGCTTTCTTCACTTTCAGATTTGTCCTCTACCGATCTGACCTCCAATATCTCTGGAATCACTTCACCTCTCTTGCGCCCAAGGGAAAATCCCGCCATAAATGATCCGATCTGCCTCATTCTGATGCTCATTTGGCCGCCAGTAGACCATGGAATTCTAGGAACATCATCTCGATGCTTCAAGTCCTCTAGTGTACTACGCCTTCGTGTCTTTAGTGCTTCCCACAGCGTGTTAGGTGCGTGTGGGTCATTTTTGTCTTTTGTAAAATGCGATGCCAAGACCCATTCAAGGGCAAGGACAACAAGACTTACTACAACACCAACTCCAAGAATTATGAAGACTCCCGCCATGTCATTCAATCCCAATTGTGTGCCGCTATCAATGTCGATGTGTTTTTGAGCCATGATGCAGTCCTCGTGAGTATGCAGCCACTTTTGTTCTAGCCTGTCCATGAAGCCTTCCTGGCGCAGTCGTAAGATTACTTGACTTAACTGCTTTGTGTATTGAGAGCCCTTTGGCAAACCAATGCCGTAACCTATCTTGCCAAACAGCTTACCGATGGTTGTTAGAGACCCACAAGGCTCAGTAGAATGCACTACATGCTCCAAGATGATAGAGTCCCAGATGAAGGCGAAGTTACTTCCTTTTACCCTACTGATTCCTTTATCACTGTCGGCGACGAGGGTATGGTGGTACTTCATAAACTGCCACATAGTCACAAATGTGGGAATGGGAGATGCCTCAAAGAACGCCTGTGGCTGGCTGTTCTTAACGGTACCATAAAAAATTATTTCCTGGCCAGCAAGGTCTTCCATGCTGCTTAATGGGGAACTAAACCTTTTTATTGTGAGAAACGCGGCTAGATTAGCTGTATACGCTGAGAGAAGGATCCCAATTGCAAACCACCAAACTGTGACAGTAATCCTTCCAGAAGCCGAAACTGGATGCAAACTGTCTGAGCTTTTGCCAACATAGTACATCACAGATGACCATATTGCGTTGGTTAGGCGAAGAGTGTGTTTTCGCTTCTCGTATTCCTTTGGTATTTTACGATGGGCTATGCTGAGGCATCTGCCATAAAATCCATAGGGACTAAAAGTACTAAAGAGCCAAATTAGAACGCCAATCGCACATGTGGCAGCGAGTATCACCAACCACAAATGGAGGTGAAAAGGTTTGAAAAACGTATAATACTTCACCTCGTCATTGACAGATTTAACGAGAGCTGTCAGTCCTAGATCCATGTAAGGCTGGGTAAAATCGATGACTTTTTGTCTCTCTGAGCTAACTGTAAACGGAGCCACAGCTATGTCAGCTCTTCCTTCGATGAGTTCCTTAACCATTCCATTCCATTCTTTAGAAATGGCGTCCTGCGAGCCGTAGTTATTGTCTGGCACCAAGTTTATTTCGTAGGAGAATTTTAAAACTTTTTTAAGTTCTTCCAGTAAGTCAATGCAATAGCCTTGGAATGAGGGTTTTCCTGTTGACGAAGTTCGCTCGATAAAAGGTTTTTCCACAATGGTGACAACTGTTATGGTTCGATTTTCCAAAGATACAGGGGTGTCCAAAGGAGCAGTCGTTTTGCCAGACGACCATATTATCTCCTTTTTCTTGTCCATGGCCAGCCCGTTAATTGAGTCCCATCGACCAACTGTCTCGAAACCATACGAGCGCAAATTGACGATGTCAAATTTCGCTTCGAAGGGAGAGCGGTTAGTGCCAAACACCTTGCGATCGATGACACCAGAAGTGTTGACCTTTGTGATGTAATCTAAAAGAGTGGCTCCAATTTCGCTGAATGAGGGTTCCTCGCCTTTGTCTGCACCAAACTTTAAGCCCTTTGAGCTTGTTACATTCCGACCATCTTCTAACATGTTGTGGATTGCTTTAGCCAGAACCATAACTGAGTCAAAGACGTGTCCCACAGTAGAATCTCTTTCAAGAGGTGCTTTATCGTATCCTTTTCCTTCCCACATACGTTTAAACTTTTCGTATTCTGCACTTGCACCGAACGAATTTCTGATGCCCACAATACCTTGAAGATACCTCGGTATGGGTCGCTCATTGTCATAAAGTCCATCAAAGGCAAATGCTCCATTTGTGACAAGCCATACCCAACCATCAATCATTCCAAGATCACTGGCTTGCAGCAGGATTGCACGAAGATTGCTGGCCATGCAGTTTACTACAACGATCCGAGCACCTCGGCTTCTAATGTGTAAAAGTTGTTTTGTGGCGTTTACCTTCGACGCGTTTCTAAACTCTTGGAAACTTTCCACGGCTAGAAACGTCCATCCCTTGTGGGAAGCAATATCCTTGAATACGACTAAACCGTTAAGTCCAAAATCATTGCGGGATGTTAACAATGCTAAGTTTGTCCACTTGAAATGCGACACAAAATCGACCATAGCACGATTTTCAATTGCATCACTACTGCTCATGCGTAACAGATATCCATATGAGTTGGGAGAGAAGTCGAAAGTAGGATCCGTTGCATAGGGAGCTAATTGCGGAATGTGAAAACCGGCGCATAGTGGCTGGGTGACTTTAACTGTAGACGAAGTAATTGGTCCGACAATTGCAACAGCGCCACTCTGAATCTGCCAGTAGGTTGCATCCACATTGGAAAAACTGTTACTCCAATCAGTTTCATTGATCAAAGGAACGAGATCAGTGTTCGGAAGCAATGTTGTATCGTTGTTGACGTACTCCACTCCAAGATTAAAAGCTAAGAGTTCTTTCGAGTTGTCTTCGTTGCAGAATATTCCACCAATCTTCACGAAGTTCAAGCCGAAAACGCTCAAAGAGTACATTAAGAAGAAAAAAAGAAGTAAAAGTTGTTGTTTTGCCATCTAAATACTCAACTTACTTTTTCTTGTTCGAGTGTAAATTGTCGGTTGTTAATCATATACGTCACAAACAGTGATATAATTTTCGGTTTCCCGCGCGCGCGAGCGCCGTTCGGGTCCTATATGATAAATATGTACTTACTTATTGAAACGGAAACGATCTTGAAATTGTCAGGAAAATCGCTGTTCCAAAGGTAGTGTCTATTGGATAAATCTCCACCTGGTGAATCGTGCAGTAGATATGCGTTATTCACCAAGCGTGAGGTCAAGATGGCTAGATATTGGCTGGGTTCTTTTCTTGCTTTGTTTGGGACCGAGACGAATTCGAGGTCATTTAAAACTCAAAAAAAAAAAAAAGACGACAAGGCCAATATCCAGCTATCTTAACCGAGCAAGCTTGATCAATGAAGGATTTATTATACAGCAACAATATTACGCTTCGGTAAGAATCAAGAGGATCAATTGTTTCGAATATTTTCAAATGTTTTTCCGTCCGGCCCGACCCAACTCATTTTTTATCATATGACCACTAACTAAGTTTTGAAAAATTCGTAAAGTTCGTAGCGGGTGACTGGCACGTGCGGGAAAACCACAAAAATGCGGATTCTAGGACAAAAACCTTTTCTTTATTATTTCGAGTCAGAACAAGAAAATCTCATTTTTTCCCATTACAGCGAACAATGTTTCTTTTCTTTTTTTTTCTTTTTTTTTTTTTTTTGCAACAAAGCCGCACAACCCGTTCGGCCTTACACACCTCAGCCTTATTATGCTTTCCTATGGGATAGCGCGACTGGAACCGGAAGGGTCTTACGATGATTAACAATTTTTTTTCTTCTGCGTGCGATGAAAGAACTAAAAAAGGAAGCCATCTTTCTTATTTCATCAATGCTAGGTTTTCTTTTCTTCTTTTTTATCTTTTTTTTTTTTAGCACAATAGAAAAACGAGACAGAGAGGATTTGAAGTCAATTCTCACTCTGGTTTCCCCTAAAAAGAAAAGAAGAGTTAAAAAGGAATATGAAAGTCGGACGTATAAAAGTGCAAGTTTCCGTCAGGCGTCTAGCTGTTTGTAACACAGTGCACGAGTGGGACTGGCGTCAACAAAACTTCTGGCGGAAATCAGCTTCTTTCACATCAAACTAATGTGAACCACACAGTACTTGTAATTTTTTAAAGAAAAAAAAAAGCAGCAGCATCGTTGCTCCGACCCCAATTTAACGTCAAAACATGGGGAATGGAATGAACAAGGTAAAAAATTTGTGTTAGTTTCTTTTTTGTAATATTCTTGTGTCTAGCAGCAACACATCGAAGGATAACATCTTCCGAACCTTTGGTATGGATGGATTGCGGAATTTATTCCAGAAAGCTGTCGATCGCTGCATGGATCTGTGTTCTTAGCTTCTAATATAGATTGGGTAGTCAACAAAGTAGTTTAAAAATGTTTGATTTAATTGCATTTTAGAATCCTTGATACACTTGTCTTTCAAAGACTGGATGTGATGTTTTTGTTATCTAATTAAGGCAAACAGTCATGATTTCAGCTCTGAGTACTTAAATTCATCAAATAAGCAGATCGGGTCTTAAGTAACGGATGTATGTTGCATGACTGGGTTTAGTGTCGCTTAGATGAATCTCCAATATATCATTTACGAGCAAGAGGTTGGTACAAGTGATTACCGATTTATTCTTGAGTCAATTAGTCTTTCAATTTGTTCAAATTGCTAGCGGGAGGCAAGCTCACTAGGTGACGCTGACTCAGGAAAGCTAGCTCACAGCCATGGGGAGGCAAGCTCAGTAGGGAAGGTTAGCTCGCAAGGGGAGGCTAGTTCGCTTGGGGAGGTAAACTCGCCAAGGGAGGCTAGCTAGTTAGGGAAAGCTGGCTAGCCGGCAAGGCGCGCTGGTGTATACGTGAACGTTCGAGATACGCGATTAGGAATTTGGTGTCGAGAGTTGCTTTTTATTTTTCTGCTTTAAAATGAAGTCAACACAGAATACATGTATACCCTTAGTGGTGAGACAAGATCAGGGCCGAAAAAATGTTGAAAATTAAGAGAGGAGACAATTTTTTAAAAGCATAAAACGAATAATAAATGGTTCGAAGAGAGAAATATATATTTATCAACTACAGTTGTGGATTTTGCAACTTACCAAAATATTGATGGAAAGTGCAGCTTGTGATCCAATGCAGATGTCTACTGTCTACTCCACTGTAATAATGTAGATAAAAAAAATTATGTTATTACCTACTGTTACCACTACATCTGGCCAAATGACAAATTGCCCTCTCTAAAAGACTCCTTTTCACAGGCCAAACATCAAAGTGCAAGCTGTAAATGGCATTTGCCACCCTGATTCTGATTTTCATCAATGAATTTGTATGATTTAGCCTTGTGTATTGATAATATAAAAACAATCACATGATTTTTGTCAGGCACATAGTTTATTTGTGTCCCTTGTAGTATCCTTAAGACTGTGAGCTAGTTTCCCTGAGTCAGCTTCACCTAGCAGGTTACCCTCCCACCAGGAAATTGAACAAATTAGAAAACTAATTGACTCAAGAATAAATCGCTAATAACTTGTACCGTAAACAAACTAGTAGAAAGTCAGATTTAGCACTTGATTCTTGAAGCTAGACAAAGTGACAGTTTGCACGTTTTTTACACTATAAGATAAGGCTTCAGACACATTGTAATTAGAACCTCATTGTCGTTTTTGTAACGTCATGGACTGAAGTCTAAGGTAGTTTCAGGGGGGCTCGGACCCCCCGCTTTTCATTAAACCATGTGCTTTTGGACTGACCATGTTGTGTTGTTGACTTTGTAGTTTCTCCTTAACCGAACTCACTCGCTTTTCTAACTGACAAAACTATATGCCCTCCAAAAGTAATGTGATTGTCCTTTTCTCAACCTTGATATCTTGATTTTTTGGTGTGTGTGTTTGTTGTTTATTTTACATAAACCTGTAGCTGCATACATAACCTAGCTAGTTACATATATCCACCAACCCTCTGCAGTTCAGTATAGCTGGGAACCATCTATTGACAGACTGATTAGAATTTGTTAAAGATCATGAGAAAATCCTGTAGCATACAGCCAACTTTGGCAAAAAATCACATACTATTGATGCTTAGATGGTATTGGGACGCAAATTTTTTTCAAAAGCCCTTTAATGGACTCTTAACCCCTTGCAGATACACACGCACGCACACAAAGCGTTTGGCACTTAAACATGTAAAAGTAAATCTAATTTACCTAGCCTATAATCTTCACTTTCATATGTACTTGTGAAAATAATACATGGACTGTTTATGTTCATGCATTATACTTGCTCTGTAAAAAATTTCATGGCTACTTGCACAGTTCCCCCTTTGAATTTAACCCTAAAACTCCTAACATCTAATATAAATTCTCTTCTCTGTTTGCTACGCATTTCCTTGTAAATTAGTGATGAGAATTTGGTGTTAGATCAAGATAACAAATTCTACCGGATAAGTTTGAGTATTCTCACTACCTGTTTGGTGGATAATGTATGGATATTATAGGGAGAAGTTACATATTCATCACTTCTGGGAATGAAAGGAGTTAACTTCATTTTGTTTCAAACAGGTCCTTCCTGGACTTTATTTAGGCAATATCAGAGGTATGACTTCAATTATTTTATTTACTAGTTAATTATTTTTTAATTCATTATCTTATATAGGTATTTTGAATTCTAACTACTTCATGGGTTGATGTAAATTTTGGGTATAAGTTCAGGTATGCACACTTTTTGTTGATGGTCCCTGCAGCATACATGTCCTTGTGATCTAACATTGTTATTAAAAACTGCAGTTATTTTGAAAAGAGAATTACAGACTCTAAAAGCTATTTCATGTTTACCCTCTCTAGAGATCATTTAATTTTTATATTTAGTTTACTTAAAATATCTTTTTGATTATATAGCTATTATTTAGAGAAACCTGGGTTGGTACTTTAATAAAATCTGAAATATTATTAGCTTAAAATCTTTCTAGCCCTGCTTGACAGTTCAACCTCATACCTTACATGCTCCATATCCCCCCCAGCCCCCTCTCTTCCACCATGATCCATCCAATTCTTCTTATTGTCAGTGGTCGTTGGTGATTTTTCTTGAGGGCAAGATGCAATGTTACTCTATCTTATATCAAGAACCTACCATTGAAGCAAGGCCAAACCACAATACTTGCAGCTCTGTGCCTTACTCTTTGTATAAAATGTTTGAATGGATTTTTTAACATCCCCCACCAACTAATTTTCAGTCAAGATGCTACAGACAGGGCTCATGGGTTATTGCTTTCATCTATGAGTTTTGATCATTTGCAGATGTCAACAAAAAGACAGCAGATTATTTTTAGTTCTTTATCAGAAATCAGAATGATGGTCCTGTCTGGGACTCAAACCCACCACCCCAGTGCGCCATCAATTGACCTAAAAAATAAAAGGGGGTAAGTTACTAAAGAAACTGCAGTGGTGCTGTGTTGGTGGAGGAGAATAACAAGGTAACTGTGGTTTTATCAACTGAGTTGATATAGCCAAAGGGCTAACGCTCAAAATGTCAGCTTTGAAACTCTCTACAGTGGCCAATTTACATTATCAAGTCAGTTGATAAAACCAAAATTACCCAATGGACCTAACAACTGACTGTATTGTAATGTATTCTAATGTATTCTTTCAGATGCCAAAGACAAGGAACAGTTAGCAAAGAATAAAATAACGCATGTTCTGTCCATTCATGATAGTACACAAGCACAAGATGAGGTATTTTACTTTGATGTAAAAATATACATTCATTTCACTGACTCGCATTTGTTTTTAACTTTTCGAACAAATGCATTTTGAGTTAATTCTACAAGGCTTGAGTGCTGTTAAGTGATAGTGTGATTATATCTAAGATTGGATTGCATAGCATAATCTAAAAAAAAAAAAAAAACCTCCCAACCTAAACAAAATAAATGGCATAGGGCTATTTAACTTTTAATGATGTTCTAAAGAGCCTGTGAAAGGAATTTTTAACTTCACTCCAGGCTGCACACCAAGTTTTTTAGTTTCTAAAATATCACTCAGTTTTCAACAGAGTAGTTTCATGTTTTGATGCATTATGCAGCCTCCCTAAAAGAGCCTAAGAGTTGTAGATACATCTAGGTTGAACACATTGAGACTCGCAATGGATTTGAGAGCCCTAGATTAAAGTGCACCTAAACCCCCAATTTTTTTTTTTGCTTAACGAAATAAGCTTAGTTTTCAGAGTATTTCTGTGCAAAAAATTTTCAATTTGCTCAAATATTTAATTTTCTGTGCCCAGTCAAAATACAGAAAATCGACCGTCATCTTGCCCCACGACCGAGTTTAAAGAGGAATGGCTGTAGCGGGTAATGTGACGTCAAATCGAGAACACGAAAGTCTGCATTTCACACATTTTCACTTGTTTGGGAAGGTTGTCGTCGATATTGTCTGAAATATGCCGACTAGGTGTGTTGTATGAGGAATGTATGAAGCACGATACCCTCTTGCAAATTTGGCACGTTGCTACATCCTTCTACAACACACTTAGTCGGCATATTTTCGGACAATATCGACTACAACCTTCCCAAACAAGTGAAAATGTGTGAAATGCAGACTTTCGTGTTCTCGATTTGACGTCACATTATCCGCTAGGGCCATTCCTCTTTAAACTCCGTCGTAGGGGAAAATGGCGGCCGATTTTCCGTATTTTGACTGGGCACAGAAAATTGAAGATTTGAGCAAATAAACAAATTTTTGCACAGAAATACTCCAAAAAATACGCTTGTTTCGTTAAGTGAAAAACATTTTGGGGTTTAGGTGCACTTTAAGCTTATTTTTTTTACTCTTTCAGAATCTAATTTACAAGTATTTTCACGCCGCTGATTCTCCTGATCAAGAAATGTAGGTTACATCGTCCAATAATTGTAATTATTACACGACTCGGGCTGTCAGAGGGCCAATAACTAAAATCAACCAATCAAAATGCTCTACTGCCGGTCCAATATTCTCTAAGTATTGGACCGGGCACTGCCCCGAATGGTCCCAAATGATACCGCACTTGTGTCCCTTTGAACTTCAGTCGTATAATAAATCTCTTAATAACCAAGCTTGCTCGGGACCGTACTGGAAGAATATCGGCCCTCGGTCTTTTTTGTACAGACCTCGCTGCGCTCAGTCCGTACTGTCAAGACCTCAGGCCGATATTCTCCCAGTACGACCCTCGCGCTTGGTTAATAAGATATATGAAAAAAACTGCTTCAAGCGATGGTTGTGGAAAAAGATACTATGAAAAATAATTCAAGTTTAAATGCGCAGGCAATGGTACAGATGTATGTCAAATGAATGATTGTGATGATCCGTGGGTTAATCTTGACTTTGAGTATATGCAGTTGTTGCAGAACTAAATTTAGAGTTATGCTTATTTAATAATGTCATCAGAGCTCTTTACAATTGCACGAGGTGTTATCATGAAGGCGTATACTTTTATTTCTGAGATGTGCAGCAAAAATACATTTTAGGCTTAATTGTCAATAAAGTGCAACCATAGATGGTGGTTGCCAGATTAGTGTTTGGAATAACAACACTTGCACAATCTTTTGCAAACTTTCAGATCAGTTTACTTCAAGGAGAGCATCGATTTTATTCACAACTGCAGGTAAATGATTTTTATAGGAACCTTTTCTGTCAACAGTAGTGCTGGCTGACTGCTTCTTGTAAAATATAATTATAAGTGCCAACATAGCCTCCGGATCACGTATCACCATCACTTATTAGTGGGTGTGTGGATGTGTTGTTGTTGGATTAAAATGAATTTGGGTTAAACTGATTTTAAACCCGTTTTATTTTATTTTCCTTCAGCTCAGGCAAATTTGCATACATAATTCTGAAGTAAAAATAAAAAATATGATGTACATTATAAATCTGTGAGCTGCGTTGTTAGTTGTAATTATTTGTAAACAAATTTCAATTTTAATTTCAGGTTAAACGATGGAGTATGCTTAGTTCATTGGTAAGACGACTAATGATTTCCACAGTTCCATAATGAAAATGCAACGTATACAATTTACTAAGGAAGTTGCTTTGAGAATGTCAAATGAATATTCGAACATATCTAAGATGGCAACTTGAACGACAGAGAATTTAAAGCTTAAGATGTTAAGCCTTAAATGGCTTTGTATCATTATTACTGTTATTATTAACATGATTTTCGAAGCATATATATTAATCTTAGAAAACCAAAATAAATGATGACGTATTATTGAGAAAGAAACCAAATATTGATTTTTTTTTTTTTTTTAAGAAAAGTGTTTGCAAAACAAAACGAGTGAGGTACGTTAGTAACTGACTTTGAGGGACGTTCGATCATGTGCGCGCCTCTCGAGTGAGTGTCGTAAAACTACAACCAGAGTAATCACAACAGCCAATCAGAAGAAAGGAAATATCACATGGAGCCAATGAGAACTCAGAATAAAAAAAAAAAAAAAAAAAAAAAAACCGTCTGAAGCGCGGGAAAACACGGGTGACCAAGAAGCGATTGGTATATGTTTTGTATTTGATTGGTTGAGACAGTGGCGGGCAATTTCTGATCCACTCATAAACAAGGGCTGACAAGGAGACTATCTCTGCCGGGATTATCAAACGTTGCCCAAGTAGGGAGGGGGCTGTTGTTGAAGACTTGATTTTCTGAGTGGTCTCGTATAGAGGGTTTGACTGCATAAAAGAGTTGTGCTATCCAAGTTGCTTGTAGTCGTAAACTATAGCTGTAGATTCTTCAGACATGTGGCATGTTCATCTGAATTTTTTTTCCTAGTTTATTTTCATCCCTTGTCTGTTGTTGTTGTTTTTTTTTTTCTCAAGTATGGCGGGAGTGTCTCGTTCAACATCACTTGTAGCAGCGTATATCATGGTTGTGACTCAGCTTGATTGGAGAGAGGCTCTTGAAGCCATTAAATGTGCACGATCTATAGCCAACCCAAATTACGGATTTAAAAGACAACTACAAGATTTCTGCAACTTACAGGCACCTCAGGTAATACACAATTTGTAAAAGCCACTAATTTTCAATTAGAAACGAGTCGTGTATCGTACTTTATATTAGATAAACTAGAATTAGAAAATTTAGTTCATGCTAAGTTTAGTGTTTGACTCTAGGCAGTTCTGTATAACCGACTTTTAATGTTAGTCGCTGCTATTCAACCAGCACTTCTTGTCCAGTGTTTCTTCCTGGAAGATTTCGGTTACCCAATATTAATTTTTTTCCTTTCCTGTGTTAGGTACTAGTCTCTGTTTGCAGATAGCCTGCGAACCAAGCCCTGGGGGAAAGGAGGGGGATTGGGGGGAGCGGAATGTTCCGCTCGCCCCAATCCCCCCTCCCCTCCCCCAGGGCTTGTTTCGCAGGCTATTTGCAAAGGATAATGAAAATGGTAGACGGTACCAAAATAATCACAAGAGTGGTGGGCATATCTGTTCCTGCCTAACCGAGACATTGTCCCTTCAATATTTGATCATAAATTTTAGATAGAACCCAAATTTTAAGACACCCCCCCCCCACTTGCAAAAGTGTTATCTAAGAGTTGAACTCGAAGGAAAACAATTAAACACAGCTCTTGATCGGGGGTGGGGAGAGGGGGACTTGGAAACTTGGGAGCCTCGCTCCGCGCTCACAGCTTCCCCTGTCGAAAGGGAAACTTTAGAAGGAAGTGGTTATTTCGCTTTCTGAGTCGTCCATGAAACTTTATATTCCTCACATCAGGAACGTGAAAGATTAAAAAGAGAGTTTCCTAACTCAAAATTCGATGACGAGAAATATCTCCGAGAGATTATGGCGAACAGTATGAACAACGATGATTTAGAGGATCGCGCGGATGATGTTATGGACGCTTTATGTAGACATACACAGAGGACTAAAATCCAATCATACGACAAGGAAAACGAGGAAACAATTGATTCAATAGGCGAGGAAACCTCACCGAATACAGCTGTAGAGAATTAAAATGTTTTGGTAGTTTATTTATATCGTATTTTCCTTGTAAATACAATAGAGTTTGTTGCTTGTACGGATATGAAACGTAAATAATAACAGTATCAAAACGATTGACCTCAGTTCCTGTCTGTCTTTTTAACGGCTTGTTATTTTCCAATTTAAACTTTCCTAATTAGATGAATTGGAACAAGAATAATAACAAATGGTAGTTATACATCAATTTTAATCCAATTCCCACCCTTTTGGTTTAACTTAGTCTCAAATGTTCGTTTTGTTGCTAATTAAGCATTTTTTTATTGAAGCATTTTCGATCTGTTCACCGGCGTAAAAGCCCTCGCGGGATGAGAGGAGAACACTTGATAAGTTTGTAGATCACAAGGCAGAGGGAAGTGGTTTACAAACTTTTCTCCATTCCTCCCAACTTCTCAAGTGGGTTATTGCGCTGGTAAACCGATAGAAAGTGTGGTTTACTGCTTTCAGGGAAATAAATTAAAAACAATATTTTATTTTCTACGGGTTTACCGATGCAATAAACGATAGGTTTTTGACCAGTCAAAGCGCTCGTACTATCTAAGTTATTTTATGAACCAAGACAGACTTCTTCATACCATAATACTGTAAGAATTGCAGTTTCACGGGACTCAACACGGGTTCATTTGAGCAGCGATAAGGCGCCGTTGTAATGAGTTTAATATTTGAGATTATATTTTTGTAAAGAAACGTGTGCTATTAAATAACACATTAAACTGATTATAAAACGAGGAGAAGAAAATTTTCTGTAGCAGTGGTTTGCCTCCTTGAAGGCTCTGAAGTCTTATAATAATGCCTCTCACTGGCAGTCAATGTTTTTATAGTACCTCCCCCTCCCTCCCC